TTCTTCCTGAATTTAACTAGTCTCAGAAGGAGAGGTATCCTGGCAAGCTGGTCCCCTCACCCACCCTCCGAATCCCTCTGTGTTGCTGGAGTTCCTGAAAATGTGATCTCCATGCCTGCTTAGACTCCTCAGCTTCCTTCTATGTAAAAAGAAGGGTACCTCAACCCAAAATGCTCTGACCTGATCTAAGATCCTGTGGCCTCAGTCAGTATTAACTTCTGGATTTTTATATCCAGTGGCTTTGTCCCATGCCTCATCACCTATCTCTGCAGCATGTGTCCCTTTCATCACATTTCTCTGCCTAAAACATTTTGTGGCTTTTTATGTGCCCAGAGCAAGCATCCAAAAATATTTTAAGATGTCAGAACCAGTAGCTCTGATACCTTTTCTGAGTTTTCAGCCTATATTTTTAATGGGCATTACTGCCCAAATCTCAAATGCCTTATAGCCAAAAACAAAGTGATACTTTCCTCAAACTGGCTCCTCCTCTTGCCATCTTTTTGTATCTCTGAGGTTGTCATCATTTTACTCTTGTGCCCCAGCTAGAAACCATACGGCCAACATTGACTTCTCCTTCTCTGATTTCTCCTTTGTCTCTGTGCTGCAATGAATAGCTTCCATGTCTTCCTTTTCTTTCTTTTCCTACTCTTTTTTATGACTATTGACTTTCTACTCCTAGTCTGTCTCTTGTCTTAATTATAGTACTTTCATGGTTTTTAATTTGAATTCCGTAGACTGACCTCAAAGACTTTAAGAATCCCCTCAAAATTATATGCAAATTTTGTACATGTGCATTTTCAGGGCGTGGAGGGCTCCATTAGACTATTCCATTGAAAAGGAAGTGAGAAACAGAATGAGAGAATGAGACAGTTTAAATCAGTTCCACTGATTTTTTACTTTTATACCTTCCCTTTGCTATTTATATTTAATTCACTAACCCAGGTACTGATTTCTGTGTTATGAGGGACTTGCATGATATTAAGATAAAGCAAAGGAAAAAAAAAAGGGAGCAGCAGTCAGCACAGCTCAGCAGTCAGACAGTCCAGCAGCTAAAGATCAGAGGCTGCCCAGAATCAGAACCAGGCTTTGATGTCCTGGAGAAGCTCAGGAGAAAGCTGGGGTGTCAGCAACAGTGGAAGGTGTCCTTCTGAGACCTCTGGACCCGTTTGCTCAAGTGCTTCCAGAGGTCTAGGAGTGGTATGAAAACTCAACTAGCAAAAATAATGGAGAGTCAGTGTCTCTAGAGGAAAGGTTAAAAACATTCCTCCAACCAGCCTTCCACCCTCTGCACTTTTGTTTCCTAGTCCTTCCTCTATTCTGCCACCAGAGTTAGCTTTTATCACATCTCATTGCCTACAAAACAAGTTAAAAACTCAGGGTGTCAAGACCTGCCACAGCCCCGTCTCCTTAGGACTGTCTTCCGCTCAAAAGCTCTAGTTGCCACTGGCTGTTTTGAGAGAACAGCTTCCATATCCATAGTTCTATGCCTTTGACCGTGTGAGTCTTTCCCTTTTTGGTGTCATTTCTTCTCTGCTGTCCAACCACAAACCTACTCATCCTTTTAGGCCCAGATTTTATGTTACCTCTTCCCCTGTGTCCATTCCTAATTTTCTGCCATCACTCTGGCAGAATCAGTCTCTCCTGGCTAGATTCCAAAACCATTTCATACATATCTCTGATATGTCATATTAAATTATAGATAACTTATTTTTATTTCTGTCTTTCCTACTAAGCCATAAATGCCCTGCAGGTAGGGACTGTCTTTTTCATGTTTGTATCCCTAACACCTACCTTAGTACCTAGTCTAAACAGGAGCTTAATACACTTTTGTTGAATGGAATTAGTTTTTATGACTCATTTAAAATTAGAGACCAATGCTTATTTAATAAGTCAGAATAGACCATAATAATAATAGTCATAACAAAGTCCCATTTCCACTGCTTATTCAAGTAACCAGTTCCTTTGTGGAAGTGGATTTGGAAAATCTTCACATGTCATTGTATATTTTTAAAGTGCTTACTTGAGATCCTAAAAGAATTATAGTACTAACGCAGACTAGAATTTCTGAGACATCCCTATTGATGTTATATTGAATATGTTCTGTCACTTATATACATATCTATCTATCTATCTATACACATACACACACACACACACACACATATAAAATAAGATCTACATATATGCATGTTGTCTGTTTTTCTCTTTACCTTCAGGGTAATACTTTGTGAATTACTTATTTTAAGATCTGAGTCAGTTGAATTCGAAATGCAGTAAACTGAGCATTTTCCATGTACAAAAAGAATTGCTGGGGCTAGGACTGTGGCTCAGTGGTAGTACATTTGCCTGGCATGTGTGAGGCCTGGGTTCGATTCTTAGCACTCATATAAATAAAGGTCTATTAACAACTAAAAAAAATTTTTTAAAAAGAATTGCAAAGTTAGGATTTTTTTATTTACACATTATAAAGTTTGTTTTGCTAAATTAATGAAGTCTCAATTATTTAAAAATGTCTTTTTTCTTTCAGTATTTTAATTAGTTCAGCAATGAAAGACATCATTGCTCTATAAATTAAAAGCATCAGATAATTTTGAAAAATCGCCTTTTCATCATATTCTTTGAGTGTTTTCCACCATTTAGTTATTCAGTCCTTTATTAGGTATACATTATATGTTAGGCATTATGTTGGACATTTTCAATTCAAGATAGTACTTGCCCTTGAATAGTAGAGCATCAGGTAATAGAGAAGAAGGCGAATAAACGAATAATTACAATATGAGCCTTGGAGAAGAGAAAGGAAACTCTTTTGAGAACTGAAGTTGAAGTTGAAAATGGATGCATCTGCTGAACAGTTAGTTGGTAGATAGAGAAGCAGAAAGATGAAGGGAGTTTGTGTTTGATAATCTTTTTTCTTCTTCTTCCTCCCATTCCCCCCACCCTCCTTCTCCTCCTCCTCCTCCTTCTAATATGTGAAGTAGGAATCAGGAATCTAGGTCATCTCTAAGAATTAATGGCATGGAGTAGTTCTTGAGAAGAAAGGAACAGGGAAGATTTAATAAGGAGAATTAGAGAGGAGCTAACAAAGACAAGTAAAGAGTGGCATGCAGAATCGAGAAAGCAGCGAGTATGGAACTGAAATTGGCTAGCATAACACTGAGGGGATGTCAGTCAGCATGGTGGTGTAATTTTCTCTGGCGGTGCTCTGTGGCCAGTGTGTGGATAAATAAAGCCATGTTGTATTCAGAGTTCACAGGATAGGCATGACAAAATATAAAAAGGCCAGGGAATTAAGAGTCCTTCCAAGAAAGTATGGCTTAATATGGAAGCAGGTTGAAGAGAGAGGCAATAAACTTGGAGAAAGTAAAACGTCAAGAAACTAGGCATGAGGATAAGGCCTGGGACTTTGCAGGTCCTCAACAAATTTTCCCTTTTTGCTTTCTGACTGTCCTTTCTTTGTACCTATTCCTCCTCTACCCCCATCTGCCTCTGCTGTGGTTCAGACATATGAATAGTTTGCAGTTGGCTTAGAGGAGAAGATCAGGAGCCAGGTTCCAAAGTCCTCAGCCCATGGGTCACAGTGACTTGGATGCTGACAGTGCTTGATGGTACTGGCCCCTAGGAGAAGCTCAAGGCTTGTTCCCTCATTTCCCTACCACTCCTGCTTGAAGGGTGGGTCAAAGGATGAATACATTATTTTGGGCCATGGTTCTTGGGGCAGGGATTAACCTGTGATGAGAAGGGTTATGTTTCTGAGTCTTCAAGGGTTTTTACTAAGCCCCCTTCTCTCTACAAGCTAAACTCTAAGCACAGATCATAGTTATTTTGAGGATTTAAAAGGAAATCTTTCCTTGAAGTAAGGATAGATGTAAAGACCATACTGGCAAACCAAAGGTCTTCCTCCTCGGAATCTAAAGTTGCTAATAGAGTTGGTTGTAAGTTGTAACTTATTTTGCATAAGTAATACATTGTTGTACTCTTTTCTTAAAGATGTACTTTTTCAGACTGACATTTCAAATAAAGACAAACCATTTTCTGTGGAAACACACATATGTATATAGCATTTCCAGAGGACTTTTTCCACCCGTAATTATAACTGTCACACCGAAGTCACATTATTTCAGAGTGCTTTTTTGGGTATATGTAGTAGAAAGAAAAAACTCATCAGAAAGAGACCATGCACCTTAACTGTGCAGCTATTAGAAGGGGGAGGGTACCCAGAGGAATAGGCAGAGGTTATAGATCTTCATTTTAGAAATTAAATAGATGAGTTGGCTAGAGACACCTGGGGAGTCTCTATCCTCAGTTGTGCTGTTTTGGATTGTTAATGGAACCTTTAAGGCATTTAGCAATTCCTACCTAGAAAATAATTGAATGCTGCTTCTGAAACTATATTTTCACCTGGATTGCTCTAAAGAAGCATGCTCCTCATTTGACATTAGTCACACAAAGAAATTCAGCTTTGTTCACAGAGTTGGTGACATCCATCTGGACCCTTGAATTCCTCTAATGTTCATCCAACTCAGCATGCTTGCCCCTTTGTTCAACTGCTTGTCTTGACAGGTAGACCCAAAATTCTATGCATTATACTCTCCATAGCCTACATCATGACAGATTTGTTTTGGGTTAACCACCCCCAACCTTAAAAGGTAATGAAAATAATTAATATCTCATAATTACATATCTAGATCAAAGAGACATTTTCCAAGTTAGGAGTGTTTGTTCTAAGTGTTAGTTCTAATATATTTTTCCAAAGACCTTTAGCTGGCAGCTTTTTTCCCTCAAACATTAATGCTGGTATTAGGAATGGTTTCTGAATTTCATTTTAAAGAGAGAAAGAGACACTGTTCATTCTTGTTCTGTTCATGGCACCTGGATGTTAATATATGTAAATAGCACTACTGTGTTTTACTTTAAATACGTATGAAGAAGAAAGAAGACCTTCCCTTAAATGTCTTACTTGTATTTTAGATGGTGTAAGACTGTTTTCTTTTCTTTTTCAGGTTGTAAACATGTTAAAGGCATTCTGTTATACGGGCCCCCAGGTTGTGGTAAGACTCTCTTGGCTCGACAGATTGGCAAGATGTTGAATGCAAGAGAGCCCAAAGTGGTCAATGGGCCAGAAATCCTCAACAAATATGTGGGAGAATCAGAGGCTAACATTCGCAAACTTTTTGCTGATGCTGAAGAGGAGCAAAGGAGGGTAATGTAACTATAACTTAGTAAAAATGTGTTCCCACTTATATGATGAATAAAATCAGAGTTATGGAGGCATATTTGTTATTGTGTTCTCTATTTTCAAACAGCTTATAGGTTAGGTTTACTTAGTACTTAGTTTATATTTTACACTACCCCAGAGATTATGTGGGATTTACATGATGTGAGCAGATGTCATTACCTACATGTTCATAACATAAAGGGAGATGATTGTATAAGTCAAAGGTTTTGCAAAAACAGATCATGAATATATTTTCAAGTGACACTTTTATACTGCATTACTTTCAAAGACTTGAACTCATTTATCTTTTTGAAGCAGGGGGACGGGGTGGTGGTGGTGGTGGTGGTGGTGGTGGTGATGGTTGGTAAATCCATGTATAGACTTACAGAATTTTATTCACACACACAAGGTCCATGATCAGAAAGCTAGCTTACTTACACTCAGTCAGCTCAGTAGTAGAGTAGTAGAATGGCAGGATTGCGTTGTCAGAGGATTTGAGTCTTAGAAAAAAATAAAATTAACTTAAAAATCAGACCAGAGGCTGGGTGTGATGGTGCTCACCTGAAATTCCAGAGACTTGGGAGGGGAGGATCACAAGTACAAAGATAGCCTCAGCAACTTAGTGGGACCCTGTCTCAAATTAAAAAATAAAAAAGGCTGGATATGTAACTCAGTGTAAGCACCCCTGGGTTGGATTCCCAGTACAAAAAAAAATCAAATCAGAGTTTACTAATGTGATGCTTGATTTTATGTGTCAACTTGACTAGGCCACAGGGTGACTAGGTATTTGGTCAAACCTTATTCTGGGTATGTCTGCGTGGGTGTTTCTGGATTAAATTAACTTTTGAATCGGTAGGCTGAGTAAAGCAGATTGCCCTCCTGATGACAGGCCCCATCCAATCAGTGTGAGGCTAACAGCTGTCTCCTCAACAGAAATAATGGAAACAAGACGCCCATTGAATATCATTTTTAAGGGGCTGAGAGGAAATAACTAGATTTTTTTAAAATATGAGATATTATGTTTCTGGGTTCTATTTATATTGGTAAATATAAGTCTTTTTTTTTCCCCCTGGTGCTAGGAATTGAACCCAGGGCCTTGTGCATGCAAGGCAAGCACTGTATTAGCCGAACTACATCCCCAGCCTCATATAAGTCATTTTAATATCTGTATGGTATTCCATTTCCTACTGAGGAGCAGTCAGGACACTTTTTTTTTTTTTTTTTTTTTTGGGGATTGACGCTGGCTACAAACTTCCAATCCTCCTGCCTCAGCCTCCTGGGCTGTTGGGATCATAGGAGTGCACCATTTTCTTTTTACTTTAGTATAGTTGGAAATAATTAATGACAATGACATAATTTTTAGGATGATGCAACAGCATAATGTATTTTAGATTTATAAGAAGATTCAGTGGTTATTGAAAGATAGAATGAGCATTATTCTATTTTAAAAAAATACATTTTTCTTTTTATTTTTTGGAAGTTTTGTAAAAAGGAAAAGATACAAAATATCAGTCTTTATAAATAGTTTGAACTGTTCAAAAAGAAAAAACCTGAAATGAGTCTAATGGACCCTGATGGTTATAGGCACAGGTAAGTTAAAATGCCATGTAAAGAAGAATTTTGTTAAAACCTTAGTTATGATAGTTTCCACTTGGCCACATAGGTAACTTGGGTGTTGTTTTTAAACTTGCAGGCAATTTGAATATGATGCTACTAATGATAAACATTTGACAGCCAGGTGCACTGGCCCATGCCTATAATCCCAGCATCTTGGGAGGCTGAAACATAGGATCACAAGCTTAAGGCCAGCCTCAACAACTTAGTGAGACCCTGTCACAAATTTTTTTTAAAAAGGGTGATGAGCTGGGAATGAAGCTCAGTGGTAAAGCTCCCTTGGGTTTGATCCCTGTAATGGTGTGGGCGGGGGGTGGGGCATAAATTGGCAAAGATTTTCTAGATAGATTTTAATCAGAGCCAGCCTTTTTAGTGATATCTTTCTCAAATCTTTATGTCCAGAAAAGGCTTGCTATACCCAAGTAATCCCACAGAGGATAAATGTGTTACATAATAAGAAGCATCCCCTCAGTGATTCTGGACAGTCCAGGCTGACGAAGATGAACACTTGCATATAGGTCAAACTAGTTAAATATAGAACAGCCACTTTCAAAGGCTGTTGCCAGGGGCTCAACAGCATCGGCTCTGTTTCTATGGGGAAAGACTGCAGATGGTTAAAAACAGAGCTAGAAGCCAATGAACTAAAGTAGATTGCATTGTGGAAATTCAGATCCTTTGGTAAAGGCTTTATTGATGATTCAGCTATATTAATCTGTGAACATTAATCTTGATATCCTTCCTTACCTGATTTTTAATTTATTGTAATAAGAATTTGCCTTTATTTAAGTAACACACCTGTAAAAATTGATGTTATTGTGCAGACTAGGTTGGAGAAGGGACCTGATGACAGGTCAAAAGATTAGTAAGGTTTTGAAAAGGTCAGAATTGTACTGAATTATGTTTAGGACAGATTACTCCTGTGATCATTTAATCACACACAGTGTTCTTATTGTCTTTGGCTTCCCTGTCCACATAGGTGATTTTTGAGGTTGGACTGAAAAGGAAGTTGTGATTCCAGCTGCAACACAAGGCACACTGACAGTAAAATTCATACATTATACCACTTTTTTGTTTCTTGCTATATCGAGCAGATAAACATGAATAAAAATGTCTTTTAAAAATCAAATAAAGGGCTGGGTTTGGTAGCTCAGTAGTAGCACATGTGAGGCATTGGGTTCAATCCTCAACATCGCATACAAATAAATAAAATAAAGGTATTGTGTCCATCTGCACCTAAAATTATTTTTTAAAAATTAAGTAAAATCTCACAATTTTCAGTCACAAACAAGAACATCCTTCTTTTACACTAAAGATGGCAAGAGTTAATACCCTTCTACATAGAATTTCTTTGGCAAGTCTAAGCTTATTGTTCTGATTTTTCATTCCCAATCTTTTCTACAGATGGAAAGATGAATATTTTTAGTGTTGAATTTTTAAGGAAGCAAGCTCTCATTTATCACTAGACATCTACACTAGATAAATATAATGATATTGAGAAACTAAGTTGTATTTTTTTTCAGATTTGAACTTAATTTTTAAAATATTTATGGAAGGTGAACAATTTATAAGTAATATTCAGGGAAAAAAATAATAAAACCTAGTTAAATTTTGGAAATGTTTATTATTGTATGACTATCATCTCACATAGAAGTGCACTTAAAAATGAACAGTACTCCAAATATGAATGTTACAATAAGATATTTACCAGTTTGAGTATTATTGTAATACAGTAAAATTGTTTTTTTTCTCTTCTGGTGTATGGTTTTATGAATTTTAACATGTGTATAGATTAATAGACCCACTACTCAAATAAGGATATAATATTAGTGTTTCCTAAACTATTTTCATGATTTAGTCTAATTCTAATCAAAGCTTGAATTCCTCTTTTTTTTTCCTTACTCTCTTTCTTATTTATAATTGGTGGAGGCTGTTTTTTATCTGATAGAAGTACATATGGTTGGAAAGAGCCAAGATAGTCTTGAAAAAGTCTTGAAAAAACTGCCTAACCTACTACTATAGTTACAGAGATATTAACATCTGTGAATCCCAGGACAGAACAGATGAACTGGTAATATCTAGAATGCATAAAATCCAAAGCCTGGTAAAGATGGCATCTCAACCAGTGGAGAAAGGAAAGTTTACTTAGTCAATAGTATTGGGTCAATTAGTTAACTATTTGAAGAATTATTTGAATTCTTACCTCTCTTGGGGTAAGCTGGAGATGTGGCTCAAAAATAAAATATCCCAGATAAAGAATTGTATGTAATGGCCGGGTGCAGTGGTGCATGCCTGAAATCCCAGCAACTCAGGAGGCTGAAGCAGGAGAATCACGAGTTCAAACCTGGCCTCAGAAACTTAGTGAGGTACTTAGCAGCTCAGCAAGACCCTGTCTCTAAATAAAATACAAAAAAGGGCTGGGGATGTGGCTCGGTGGTTAAACATCCCTGGGTTTAATCTCTGGTGCCAAAAAAAAAAAAAAAAGAATTGTATGATTATATGTAGTATAATTAATTTAAAGAGCAGTAAAGGTAGGTGACCATTAGTGTCTATAATGGGGAAGAATTTTAAGGCTTAATGTAACAGAAAACATAGAAAAAATAAAAACTAATAATGTTAACTATTTAAATAGTATGAAAGTCTTCACTTGCCAGGCATAGTGGTGCACACCTGTGATCTCAGTGGCTCAGGAGGCTGAGGCTAGAGGATCACAAGTTCAAGGTCAGCCTCAGCAAATAGTGAGGAATAAGCAACTCAGCAAGACCCTGTCTCTAATAAAATATAAAAAAGGGCTGGGGTTGTGGCTCAGAGGTTAAGTGCTCCTAGGTTAAATCCCTGGTACCAAACAAAAAACTTTCACTTATCAAGTCAAATGGCAAACTGGGATAAAATATGTGCAACAGATATAATAATTTTCTTCATAAAACACCTTTTATAAAGCAATAATAAAAACTTTAAATTCTAGTAGGAAAATGTACAGAAGACATCAAATAAGAGAACTCACAATGATGAAAAATGTAATTTACAGGGCTGGCTATAGCTGAGTGGTAGAGCACTGAGTAGTATTGCCCAGCAGGTGTGAGGCCACGGCGTGGTGGTGGTGGGGGATGCAAAACTTCTAGCCTCTTCAGCCTGTATTTAGACAAATGTGATTTAAAGGTTTATAGAAAGATCAATCCCTAGCACTGAAAAATAAAATTTAAAAAAAACTCACAAAAGGATGCCACTGTTAATACTTTAAAAAAAACATTTTTAGTTATAGATTGACACAATATATTTATTTTACTTATTTATTTTTATTTGATGCTGAGGATCAAACCCAGTTCCTCACATATGCAAGACAAGTACTCTACTACTGAGCCACAACACCAGCTGGAGAATTACTTTTTAAATGTTTCTAATATTCATTATTTGTGAATCTCTGCCAAAACAGGCACTGTTTTGTCATAGTCCGTGGTGGGATTATAAATTGAGAAAACCTTTCTGGAAAAGTGTTTGACACCCTTCTCAGTTTCCTTAAAATACTCAACAAACCTTTGACCTAACAATTGCCTTTAGAAAATAATCATATATATTATGAAGCAACATATATATAAATATCTAATAAGGTATTAAGTATGGGAGTTAAACTGTGGAACTAGTCATAATGAACTAGTATAAAGCTATTAAAAATCATTGGGTAGTTATGGAAAAGGATTTAAAATAAAGACTGGACTTAATAGAGCAGAATATAAAATATTATATAGCAGCATCTTGGCTGATTGACTTTGAGGTGATTGTGATCTCAATTTTTTTTATATTTTTCTAAATTTTCTATAGTCATATATTTTGCAATTAGAAATAAAAATAGCCATTTGGAATTGTTCTTAAAGAATAGTTAACAATTTCAATTTTTAAATTAAATTTAAAATGTAGAAATAAATCTGTAGAATGTTAATAGCAGTTATCTTTAGGTGATCCAATGTAGTTTATTTTTAAACTTTATTTGTATTTTACAAATTTTTCTCAGTTAACACACTTATTACTTTTATAATAAAACAATTTTAGCCTCATAATCCTCAATCTCACTATGCTCATCGTTTAATTTATATTATTCATGTACTGTTATATTTAGGTTATGTTTATTTTTTTCTGTTTTGTTTTATTTTAATCCCCAATATGTGTGTGGGGGGTGTTGGGATATTGAACCCAGGGCTGCTCTCCCACTGTACCGTTGAGCTGTATCCCCACCCCTTTTTATTTTATTTTGAGACAGGATCTCACTAAGTTGGTAAGACCAACCTCAAACTTGCAATTCTCTGTCTCAGCCTCCCAAAGTGGCTGGATTACAGGTATGTGCCACTGTGCCCAGCTCCTAAGGTTCTTTTTTGTGTTAAAAATAAAAAAGAAAGAAAAAGAACTATGGCTGACAAGAATTAGCTGTATATTTCAAAATAGCTGGTAGAGAGGATTTTGAATATTTCCAACACAAAGAAATGGTAAGTGTTTGAGGTGTTAGATTTGCCAGTTACCCTGGTGTGATCATTCTACATTGTATGTATATATTGCAGTATCACACTGTACCCCATAAACATGTGCAGTTATTAAAATTTTTAAGAAAAAGAAAACATTTCTAGCATGTTCTTCTTCCTTTGGTCCCTAATAGGTGGCTTAATTGAATATAAATTGTTAGAAGGTCTGTGTTAATTTAGTCTAATAAATTAACATTCAAAAGTATTTGTTTCATGCTAGGAATACAGCTCAGTTGGTAGAGTGCTTGCCTTGAATGCACAAGGACCTGCGTTCAATCCCCAGCACCACACCCCAAAAAAGTATTTGTATCTATTAAAGGTCAGAAATACATAAACATAAACTAATGTCTTTTGATGATGGCTGTTTATAATATCAAAGCAGAAATCACTATGCAGAAGAAATAGAACCCCTTTACCATGTTCTTATAAACCATTTCTCTGTTCTCACTTTACTCTTAGAGAAAAATAATCTGTTTTCATGTGATGTAAGTAAATTTGAATCACGTTCAGTTTCTTCATCATTTGCCCAATTCCCAGCCACCCCCTGGGTGGAATTAATCGTTAGCTATATAATATGGCAAAACAATAAACTTACTGCTTCTGGGACAGTCTTCTCACCCACTTAACAAATGGCTCCTCACTGACTTAACAAATGCATCTGAGAGGTGTAAGAATTCTTCTTTCAAGTAGTAAGATAAGACATACATATAAATTCACATTTAGTTATTTGATGGACTATTTACTTTATATATATGTATATAAATACTATATAACAGTTTATTTTTGTTTTATGACTGTTAAATGTGAGGTTCAGGGATGTCTTTTCGGTTTGTAGAATTCTGAAAATAGAGTTCTAATACCTTTGAGAGGGCATCAACTGTGATTAAATTATACTTGCTACATTTATTAGTCGTACTAGAGTGAAATCAAACTGTTGAAAGCTTTGTTTTGCTTTTTTGATTAATTTGTTTAATAATACATTTAAATTGTGACCTTTAACATAATTTCTTCCCTTAATAGCTTGGTGCTAACAGTGGTTTGCACATCATCATCTTTGATGAAATTGATGCCATCTGCAAGCAGAGAGGGAGCATGGCTGGTAGCACTGGAGTTCATGACACTGTCGTCAACCAGTTGCTGTCCAAAATTGACGGGGTAGAACAGCTGAACAATATCCTTGTCATTGGTATGTATATTTTCATTTAGAAAAGTTCTAGTCTTCCAAAAACATGAGATCTGTGTAGGTTGTAATTGTGTCATTGTCTCCAAATTAGAATCAAGTGATGTTGAAGACTATTTGCATGTTGAATTTTAATAGGATAAATAAAAGTTGAGTTTTAGTGAATTGTAGGTTTAATGAAAAAGGCAGCGCTGTGTGATGCAGTGGTTTTCAACCTGCATTACAGCAGGCCCCCAAGGCCCTCAGATTCTACATCACTATTGTCACTATTTTTTTTAACTGTTTTATGTCCTGAGCTACTTCCTGATGATTTTGGATGGTGTGTGCAGAGCTGTTTTATGAAGGTTTAGGACTGGCCTAAAAAATGGGAAGGACTTTGAAATCAGAGAGTTTATGTTCACATTGCCCCCATCACCTTAACAGGTCATTTACCTTCTCTGAACCTGAAATTTTCTTTTTAATTATTGAAAGTTTTCATTACTTTTGTATTCTGTTTGCTTGTAAAGTAGTGAAATACTAAAGCAAAATCTCTTGATATTTTCATTAGAATAGATCAAGACTGAATGTTGGTTTTTATTTGAGAATAAGTTGGTTTACTATTTGACTTTTATAAAATGTCTTCTTAGCTTGTTAGAGAAATTACTATTACATATACTGAAGAGACATTTTATATTATTTTCAAACTCTGATCATTTGTTTGTCACTGTGTTTTCACATCTGCATTCAGGAATGACCAATAGACCAGATCTGATAGATGAGGCTCTCCTTCGACCTGGAAGACTGGAAGTTAAAATGGAGATAGGTAAGTAGATCTGTCACTGATGGCTGTGCTGTGTGCATGCACCCATGTGTTCTGTGTGCACATGTAAATGCTTATAGCATTTAGAGTTCATTAAGAGGAGCAATAACACCTAATTTAAATTTTGTTAGAAAATTTTATATCTATGGAAAAGAAAAAAAAATTCTATATCTTGCTTGAGCACCTAGAAGAAAAGCATTAGGATTATAATTATGTCTTTTTTTTAAAGACAATGTCTTTTTTTTTTTCAGAGAGAGAGAGAGAGAGAGAGAGAATTTTAATATTTATTTTTTAGTTATCGGCGGACACAACATTTTTGTTTGTATGTGGTGCTAAGGATCGAACCCGGGCTGCACGCATGCCAGGCGAGCGCACTGCTGCTTGAGCCACATCCCCAGCCCATATAATTATGTCTTAAGGGCTCTCGAGAGAAAGCAAATGTATGTCTATTTTATTTTTTTCAGGCTTGCCAGATGAGAAAGGTCGACTACAGATCCTTCACATCCACACAGCAAGAATGAGAGGACATCAGTTACTCTCTGCTGATGTAGACATTAAAGAATTAGCTGTGGAGACCAAGAATTTCAGTGGTGCTGAATTGGAGGGTCTGGTGCGAGCAGCACAATCCACTGCTATGAACAGACACATAAAGGTCAGGAAAACCAACTCAACTAGGTGTTTGCAGTTCTCTTAGTACCATGCTCACGTTCTTTTTCCTATCAAGCATGCCAAGGCAGGTAGACTGACTTCTGATAGAGAAAAGAGATGATAAAGAAGTAAGAATTAAGTGTCCACTGCTCAATCTTTAGAATACCAGAAAGAAAGACAATGCTACCTTATTTTGCCTTCATCTTCACAGATGCATATAGCAAAGGTTTCATTTACTTATTTTTTTGTGTATGTGTTATTGGGGATTAAACCTAGGGCCTCGTGTGCACTAGGAAAGCACTCTGCCACTAAGCCACACTCCTAGCCCTTGAATTAAAGATTTTGAAGTTTTTTGAAATCTTTGCACTGGACTGGATGCAGTGTCACATGCCTATAATTCCGTGGCTCGGGAGGCTGAGCAGGATGATCTCAAGTTCAAAGCCAGCCTCTGCAAGTTAGCAAGGCACTAAGCAACTCATTGAGACCCTATCTCTAATTTAATAAAAGGTGGTGGGGCAGTGCAGGGAATGTGGCTCAGTGGTTAAGAGCCCCTGGATTCAATCCCCAGTACCAAAAAAATAAAATAAAAAATAAAAAAATCTTTGCACCATATTCATTTGTACCTTAATATACCACAAGTTGGATATTAGAACTATAGAGATTGCTACATTTAGCAAATATGCCAAATACTTGCAATTTTGAAATAATAGGCTGGAGATGCAAGATAATAAATCATGACCTCTTCTCTCAAAGGGTTCAAAGTCAGGGAAGCAAACATGTTTGCAAATTATTACAATAATGTTATAGACACTATGGCAGAAATACATACCTCTATGCTTTTCTTTTGATAGGTTTGATAAATAAAGTGTTCTTGATCCTAGCTCCTTTCTTCAGTTTTTAGTTATCAACTGTAGACAGATGACTCCCAGATTTATATCACATTTCTCGAACATATCTGTTTCCTACTTTCAGATTCATTTTAAATGCTCCCACCCATGTTTTCTCATGTCTCATATTTAATTTTCCAAAACCAAATACCCTTTTTTACTACTTTTCTTCCTGCTTCTATTTCACTGTTTATTCTCAGACTTAAAAATTCAGGATTATCTTTAATTGCTGCTACTTCTGTGTCCCATATCATGTCATTTGCAGGTATTGTTCAGTATCCTTCAGTTTTTACTGCACCATCCCAACTCGGCTATGGCTCTCAACAACTGCCACCACCCATCTTCTCTTTGACTAACTTTCCCATCTCAGATCATGATCATTCTACCCTTCATGACTCTGTTATTTTCAGAGCAAAATAAATATTTCTTAGCCTGGTCTTTAAAGTTCTCTAGGTCTGCCTATAATTAGCCCTTCCAGGTGTTTTCCTGATTATTCTCCATATACTTCAGCCAAACCAAAATACTTGATGGTTACTAGTTATCAGACATTAATTTATTTTTCAACATCTCTGCTCTTTTTTTCCCCCTTATTTGAGGATCTTTACCCCCTATATTTACCTGTCTCATATGCTACCCTGTCCTCCAACTTTTTCTGATTCTCCCTTCCAAGAATGATGTGCTGCTCTCTTTCTTCCTGAAATAGTAATGTATTATTAAAATGCCTCCAGTTGACTTTGGTCCAAATAGATTTATTCAGTGTCTGCAGTATACTGTGCACTGTGCTAGGAGTTAATGCTATAATTGCAGAGAAGTAAATTGCCTGCCATTGAGTAGCTCCCAGTCTGATCCTCCCTATCCAGTCATTGAAAGTATATGCAAGGTAAGGAAGTTAAAAAGTATCAGGTGTGGTCAACATAGGGTGAGAGAAACCACACAGCAATTATCTGTGTGGATATGAATATCTCTTAGTGGGTAGAAGGAAAACCATATGCCAAGGATCAGGGACATAAAACAGCATGATGTGTTGAGTAATTTGGTACTGCTTCAGCACAGAAGTCAGGGAAGGGGTACTAGGAGAGAAACATTGTTGTGTAAGTCAGATGACTAAAGCAAGGGATGGAGCACAAAGAATCTTTTATACTCTACTAAAAATATAGACTTTATTTTTCTGCCAGTAGTGCTAAGCCATTGAAGAGTTTTAAGAATAGCAGTGTCAAGTGGAGTATTTAGGGGAGTAGAGTCAATGACATAAGACAAGAGAAGGGAACTTTTATAACAGGCAGGAAATAATAAAAGCCTGAAGAGAGAGGTCAAGTCTGTTGAAACTACTGGGGTACATCCTGTCAATGATTCTAGACCAGAAGTCAGCAAACCGTGGTCTGTGGGCCCAATCTGGTCAGCCACCAGTGTTTATGATTAAACTTTTTTTGAAACACAACTACACACACTTATTCATGGGCATGGTTGCTCTTATGCTGTAATGGCAGAGTTAAGTGTTTGCAACAGAGACTGCATGGCCTACCCAAAGCCTAAAATATTTATTATCTGTTTTTTTATAGAAAAAAAGTTTGCTGACCCCTTTAAATGTTAAGTCTATTTCTTTTTTTTAATTAAATATCTTTATTTATTTATTTATATGTGGTGCTAAGGATCAAACCCAGGGCCTCACGTGTGCTAGGTGAGCGCTCTACTGCTGAGCCACAACTCTAGCCCCAAGTCCACTTTTTAATTCATCTAGGAATCTTCTGCAGTATCCCATATAGATTTAAATACTGAGCATATGATAATATTCAAAAAATATTTTTTCAATGAGTAAACTAAACATGTAGTCTGAAACTCTATACATGAGTCATAGTTTCTCTAAATAATAGAAGTGACTTTGTTTTAGCTCATTTTTTCCAAAAGTTTGATCATTGTGGGAATACAGTATTAGGTTCATTAATGCAGCTTATACCTGCAGAAATAAATCCATTCTTCTTCCTGGCCATAGATAAGCCTTAGTAAAAAGTGGTGGTGAGTTCAAAAAAAATTATGTAAGTGATATGAAAACTGCTCCTTAATGATCCTTCAACTTGGGCCACAGGAGGATGTCTTAGTATAGTCCACCATAGTTAATGTGCTAGTTATTGGACTTTCATGTGCATTGGCCACAGATTTAATCATTTGTCATTTTTACCACAATAATCTTTTCCCAAAATGTTACTCTAAACCATTGTCTCACAAAGAAGTGTTCTTCAAATCATGTTGGGTTTATCTATATTGGAAGCAAGAAGATTGGTAGGAAGGTCTCAGATTTCTTAGTCAAGAAGTGTGGTCATATATTACACAGTTCTTTTGCTGTTTGTTTCTGACCTGTCAAGGGGAAGTACTATAATCTATATAAATGCTAGTTACATACATTTTTTGTATTATTGGTTGATTTTAGAGAATGTCATATACATCCTTTTCAATATCTGAGTTTCATGTGTGTGTGTGTGTGTGTGTGTTTGTGTGTGTGTGTTGTTGTCAGTGGACCATTATTTTATTTATTTCTTTAATGTGGTACTGAAAATATAATCTAGTACCTCACACACTAGGCAAGTGTTCTACCACTGAGCCACAACCTCAGCCCTCTGATTTTTACTCATTATTTTCACTCAATACTTATTCAATATTGCATTTATAATTTATCTAATTATAGAGCTAAAATGTTTGTTACACTGTATAGAATATGTTATTCTTCAGATTTGCAAGTCAGTAGTGTGAACAGTTGACTGTTATTTCCCTCACTTTTTTCATGTGGTTGAATATTCTTAAAAGCCTCATGGATACATATTAATTTGTGATCAATGCTTTTTGTATAAAATAGGTTTCAATTTTTCCCAATATCAATAAAATAGCTAATGTGCAGCACTATGTGGGCTCTTAGGAAAGAGAAAGATTACATCACTAATCTCACCCCCCAAAAGGCATACTACTAACATGTGTTTCTTTATTTCTATTTCTAACAGTCTGCATTGTTAAAGAGTCTCAAAACACTGTTTTCCCAACTGGATGACTCCTCAGCAGAACAAAAGACATAGTTTCAGTTTTTCCACTGCTGTAGATGTTCATAGCTTTATTTGTAATATTTGATAAATAAGTTTTTAATTTCAAGCTTAGGATTTAAAGTTGGGTAGAACTTTAAAACATCCACAACATTCAACTATTATGACATTCTTTCTTCATAGTATAAAAAAATGCACTTTAATATAAAAATAAAAAATAATTTTTAAAAATGCACTTTAAGTGATATTTTGCTTCCCTTTCAAAAGATTATACCTAAAGAAAGATTTAGCCAATTAAGTAAACAAGTCTTCGCTGTTACACTATTTTTTCAGGTTTTCTGAAACAAGTGGAAAGTCCAGCCGTAAACACCTGAGGTTCATGTCATTTATACTTGAACCCATGTTTTCGGTCAACTAAAATTCATGTGACATTTGGTTGTTTTTGTCTTGAAAGGAATTTCTGCTTCAGGTAGAAAAGATTCATAATCCAAATTTCTTCTCTAATCTGCTGTAAGGAATAAATCAAGGACACAAATACTTTATAATTAAATCAAAGCTCTGAATTATATTTACTGAATTTCAATAAAATTAATTCTTTTATGTAGACTTTTTGATTGATTATGGTTATTCTACCCTTAATTTAAGAGAAGAATGATAAGAACTTTGAAAGGTCAGATTTAAAAGGTTATGAAATTTAATGGTGACCACTTGATATTTGCTAGTGTTGAAATACAAGCTAATGAGTTTCTGCAGGTATAAGTTGAAAGATGCTGCCTCTTCTATATTGATTAGGTGTTATAAATAAACTGCAGAAAATATCTTACTAACTCAAGCAAATGAGAAAAGATTTTCTGAATGAGTAAAAATTCAGAATTCTTGACTTTTAAAAATAAGACTTTGCTATTTTTATAAAATAGTAAAAGTTGATTAAGAGAAATCCTTAAGGGCCGGGGTTGTGGCTCAGCGGTAGAGCATTCACCTAGCACATGTGTGGCCCAGGGTTCGATCCTCAGCACCACATATAAATAAATAAAAATAAACATATTAAAAAAAGAAACTCTTTAAAAAAGAGAAATCCTTAAAAATTTTAC